ATTCATCGCTTTGCTCAAAATCTAAAAGCACACATCATGTTAAAATCAAGTTTTATAATAAGTATTTATAAATTAAAAAAAGCATTTAGACATAACAAATGTTCATTTTTATTTAATTTATATTTTTATGTTATCGCCTCAAAGAYTGAACAATATAATACTTGGTTAGAAAGTATTTGTATTTTTTTTAGCAATATAATTCTTTAAAATATTCTATAACATGTAATTTTTAATACTTAACTTTAAGAAAAAAAACAGATTTAAAAATTCAAATACCATACAGTTTAAAACAAACCTTATTTGTTTCACAAGTRGATCCATCAAATTTGAATACATTATCAGGGCAATACTCTGAATCTCCAGTACAGTACTCAGGTAAATCACATTTATTTGAAGCTGATCTACATTCTACACCAGCAAACTTTAAGCTACAAGTCTATGAAAATTAAATTTATTTTTAAGTATAGCATATTGAATATATACTAAAAATTCAAATGGCATTTTCAAATTACATTTAAATCACAACATTTTCCTGTAGCACAGGTGGCGTTTTCATAAAACATGCATGTTTCTGGATTGCAACAAGGATTTTTGCACATATCTTTCATTCCACAATCACACTGTTCTCCATCTTCTACAAAACTATTACCACACTCTGGGCTTCCAAATAATCTAACAATAGAAGCATAAAACTTGAGTAAATATATATAATTACACAAAATATATRTTATTTAAAAGAAAATGTGAGGAATACATTAACAATTATGGTTGATAAACTTACCCAACAGGTTTATTTCTTAAACAGTAGTCCATTCCATGCTCAAACGCTAGTGCTAAATATTCCATACTACAAGAACTCCAGTGGGTTGGGCTCTGTGCTCTGAACAAAAATATAAAATTAAATACATTGTTAGCAAAATTGAAATTTAACAATCATTTTACCCTGAAGAAGGTGCCATAACACATCGATCAGCTGGGCAATCACACTCAGRTGTATCATGTTCCATACCCAAGTTGTGACCTATTTCATGTGCTATAGTTGTCGCTACCAAACCCCGTACAAAACTGTGGTCGCTATTTACACCACCACTAAATTCATAGGTACATATAGGTCCTTTTAAAGCTTTACCAACAATACCATTCTCAAATTGGAATTTTCTGAAAAAAAAAATAAATAAATAAATCATATAATATTTATGACTCTTAAAGAAAAATAATATGTACGTTAGTAATTGAGCATTATCATTAGGATGATCTTTGAGAAGACTTTCACGACGATAGTTTAAGAAATTAGTCAATGTAGTGTCACCATTTGACACTAATGTAATTTCATTATGTTCAGTCCATACAACTACTCCAACAAGTGTGATGAATATATTTAGTGGTATATAAAGCTGAAAAAAATAAAAATAACAATAACATTTCATGCAATGTTAAAATATTAGAGGGCAGTTACAGCTTACAGAATTAATTATATTTGCAATATCTTTAGTATGCTGATAAACTTTTGACAATTCATTATTAAAAAACTTATACTCTTCTTGGTCAACAACAAGTACCAATTCAATAAATCTAGAGTTTTCATTTTGATTGTATGGTCCCTTAAAAGACCTCGTACTTCTTTTCCCCTGCAAAAATGATATAGGTAGATACAAAACTTATATCAATATATCAAAGTATGTTGTTATCACTAAAAATAAATCTCCTTACGCGTTTGAGTTCATTAGATGTAAATTCAAGTGAACTAGGAAATCCTGAAAATAAAATGTTATGTTTAAAATTCAAAAAATGATTTTGTAATCACTTACCACATGTATAATTRGTTCTAAGATCTTCATGTTTGTACAAAATATGGTACTTGTCACCTGATTTGCGTTCAACATTTTCAATATAATGGTATGAAATCCCATCAAAAAACATTCCTCTACAAAAATCAAAATCACTAATTATTTAATCATATTTACTTTTTTTATTTTAAAAGTAGTTATTATAATAACCTTATGCCATCACATGTAGAAATTGCTGCCCAGGAATTCGGCAAATGACGAATTTTACCATTATAGTTGCAAAATTCAAGTTCCTATTAATTTAATTATAAATTAACTGAATATGACTAAATTTTAATACTATTTATAATAAAATAAAAATGTAAATTTACATTTGCTTTTGGTCTATTTATTWCATGAGCTCCATTTTTCTGATGTTTTTCAAAATAATTAACTGGGATTAATCCTCTGTAGATAGTAAAAAGTTATAAAATAAATTAGTTTTATATTGATTATTATTTTTGTTGGTTTAATATTTTTAACTTACCTATTGAGGCTGAGATCAATAATATATTCTTGTTGTTTGTCGACAAATACTAAAGTAATACCATGAGCATGCTCCAGGCCATTCTACAAGTACAAAAAATAAAAATAATAAAACAAACATAAAAATCACTAACTCATAAATTCTAACTCTAGCAACTCAATAATTATTTTAAATCGTATTTTTTCTGTATTTATAATAGTTTTTTTTCTGTAATTAAAATTATAAAGGTAATAAAAAATGAAAAGATGATAATGTTGTAACCTTTTTGTTTAAATATGATTTTATGAGCATATTTGATGAATACCAACTATCTCATATTATACGGTATTATGTATTCTTGGTATTTTTAGGTTACCTACCAACATCTTAAGTTAATATTATTTTATTTAATGCATAATTTAAGGTACATAAATCGTTGAAGTATTTAAAATTTTAAAATGTGCGGCACATGTATGAAAACTGAGTATTAAATGTCTATTCAACGTCACTTTAAAGTTTAAATAGAGGGATTAAAAAATGCACTTAAAAATAAAATAATGTACCTGGAAATTACAGTAAACGARATGCAAAAATTGTTTTTATTTATAATAGTGAAATATTATTGTCGTATTCTCGTGTTAATTGTCTATGTGTCATGAATCATGACTAAAATAGTTTCGTTTTTAATAGTATATCCTAACATTTATTTAAGACGTAGACTTTAGTACTAAATACTGACAATCTTATACCCAATTCTATAATTAACTACAATTAGTAATTTACTCATAATTTATTGTTATTGTTAAAATAAAATATAATGACTCAATAATTTATGATTCTAAATTTAAAGGTCCTAGAAACACCCATAACGGTTAGCTATAGTCGCAACAAAATACCGGAAACCCTATCTAAATCAACATGCAGAAATATGACTAATAGTGTTTTGAATTTGAAATTTAGATAATATAATTATTTGCGTCCCCATGAACTCTAATTGTAGATGCAATGTAATAAATTAAGAGGCTGTGTTATTACCAGCCAATATTTTAACGATGCATTGATATTTGGTAACTGATAAATATTTTTAAATTAAGAGGACGCCACACCCGCATGTATTGTCTCCGTCTTACAAACGTAGTATAACATAGTAAAATCTGTTTAACGCGGGACAACTGTCCTCCCTCAATATTTATAATAGAATTTTCAAAATTTCACAACGCATAGGCAAGAACTTTATCTGTGTCATAGYGTCGTTATTTTTTTGATAACATAAATATAATTAAAGTTATAATATAAGCTTAATAAAATACATTTATTTTTTATTTTTTCATTAAATTGCTTAAAATTATTGGTTTGTGCTATCAAAAAAATAACGACGCTATGACACAGATAAAGTTCTTACCTTTGTGTTGTGAAATTTTGAAAATTCTATCATAAATATTGAGGGAGAACAGTTGTCCCGCGCTAAACAGATTTTGCCATAAGATGTTACGCACTTGTAAGACGGAGACAACACATGYGGGACGCGGGTGTAGCGTCCTCTTGGCTCTTAATATATTAGTATCCAAAGTGGCAAGGCCCATCCTTACAGAGATCTATAATAATCAAGCCATCTATCAAGCAAAAGTCACATCAGCAATCTAATGG